AAAAAAAAAAAAAAAGAAAAGAAAAGAAAAAAAAAGACATGGGAGAGTCTGGACGTGGTGGCTTACACCTATAATCCCAGCACTTTGGGAGGCCAAGGCAGGAGGACTGCTTGAGGCCAGGAGTTCAACATCAGCCTGGCCAACATGGCGAAACCTTGTTTCTACCAAAAATACAAAAATTAGCAGGGCATGGTGGCAGGCGCCTGTAATCCCAGCTACTCAGGAGGCCGAGGCAGAAGAATCGCTGCAGGCCAAGATCATAGTCCCAGGCACCACGAACCGGAGAGGTGGAGCCTCGGTTGCCATGAGCTCATATTGCGCCACTGCACTCCAGCCTAGGCAATGGAGTGAGACTTCATCTCAAAGAAAAAAAGACATGGGAGAAAAAAACCCAAAAATTAACTGCAGACCATTCCAATCTGGGAACAAAAGTAAGGCCTTGTCTCTACAAAAATATCAAAAAATTAGCCAGGTGTGGTGGTGCATGCCTACGGTCCCAGCCGCTTGGGAGGCTGCAGTGGGGAGGATCACTTGAACCCAGGTTGAGGCTACAGTGAGCCATGGTCGCACCACTGCACTCCAGCCTGGTTGACAGAGCAAGACCGAGTGAACCATTCTGAAATCGCAAGGTTACTTGTGTATTACTTTTCCATTTCAAAGCTTGAGGAAAAAAGCCATAAATGATTTCGCTTCCTACCCTCCAGCTAGGTCTGGCCTCCAGGCCGCTTTGCTTGCTTTGTCCTCTGCCTGGAGTGTAATTACAATCATCAGGCAGTCCTCTTTCATGTCACTTCCCTTTCCAGGGAGGCAATTTGTGTGATGAAACACACTTGAGATCAGGAGTTCGAGACCAGCCTGGCCAACATGGTGAAACCCTGTCTCTACTAAGAATACAAAAATTAGCCAGGCGTGGTGGCAGGTGCCTGTAATCTCAGCTACTTGGGAGACTGAGGCAAGAGAATCCCTTGAACCTGGGAGGCAGAGGTTGCAGTAAGCCAAGATCATGCCATGGCACTCCAGCCTGGGCATCAGAGCGAGACTCCATCTCAAACAAACCTCAAAATAACTAAAAATACATACGTACACACATACATACATAAATAGATTATACAGGACAACTATTTGCTTAATGTCCTTGTCCCCATAATCAGGAGCTCTGTGAGGGCGGAGACCTAGTATATATCCACAGCTCTATCACTTCCTCTGGCGGGCCCACCCTGACCTCTCTCAGCCTGGGTCAGACACCTCCTCTGGGCTCCCACAGTCCTGTAGTTTCTCCCATTGTGGCCCTATCCCCTCTGCCTGCCTCCCCCATCCCAGCTTTGATGATCTGGATGTCAGTTTGATCCTGGATCTGTTTACCACCTCTCTCCCACCTGTGATCTTGTGTGTGTAGGGCCCAGGGCTGCACAGGTCACCACTGTGTCCCCACCATCACCCAGTAAGGTTCAGGCACACAGCTGGTGCTCAGTAAATGCACAGGAACATGGAATGGCTTCAGTGTCACCTTTCAGAGGCCCCTGGGCTACCTTCCCAGTACCCCCCAGTTCAGCCCCACCTCCATGATCCCACCACCCACCCGAGGTGCAGGCCACGACCTTGTCCACACCATGAGCCTTCATGGCTGCCACAATGTTCCGGGCGCCCTCAGACATCACTGTAGTGGGACCTTAGAGGGGACAGAGAGTGGCTGTCACTGGTGGGCGGCGGCGGCGGCAGGGGTGGCAGGGGTGGGGCTGG